AATCCGGCGATATTCGGTGCAATCCCGTCCGATTTACTAGTCTTCTGATCTCGCCGATCTCCGTCTCCGATGTTCAAAACTAGGTCGGTTGATACTCGATTTGGTTTCCTCTCTCTGTTTATTCCTCTTTTTCATCTTCGTTTAGGTAGAGTAATTCACCGTCAATCTGATTATTGTTTCGAATTCGCGATTCCGTAGAGTTGAAACGATGGATCTATTTGGAAAATCCAAGGATGATGGTTCGCTTCTAAAAGGTTGGGCCAATTTTCCTTCCCTTGATCGATCTATTTTATTAATTTATTGGGGATTTTTTGTTTATTTCAATCTCTAGAACTTGCAATTTAAGGACTTGTTGGTGAGTAAATTGAATAGATTTTGTAAACTTAGCTTTATCAATGGCTTCGGGTTACTCAATACATTAATCAAAAAGAATAACCGATTTAGGATTATGGAGAATGTTCCATCTTGTTCTCTTGATCCTATTTGTTTTTGGTTCTTTATTGTAAGTTTTGATAAATTACTCAAATTATTATGTTTGTATGGAACAAGTGTCACTTGTATACATAGTCATTCCACCTAGTTCTGAACTGTTATATTGTTTAGCATCTTGCAGTAGCATCATGGTGGATCCCCTAAAGAGGCAGGTCTTTGACTTCTTTCAAAGAACCAGAAAGCGTTAATAATAACAGTTTCATTATACAACCTAACATCCTGTGCTTGCAGAAGTTCAAGACTTGGCTCCTGCGTTATGTCCTAAAGCTAGAGAAGCGGAATGTAAGATAGAGAACCCTTTGGTGGATGAGTCTCTTCGATCAGAGTCTCTTCTTGAACTCCAGATTGTAAGTTTGCTATATTTCTCTTCTCTGTGTTATCATTTTGATGTCGACACTCATACAAATTACGAAAGGGGAAAAATGATTTTGGGGTGCAACGATTGGTGATTTGTTATGAAGGCTTTCTCTTGTTCTATAGTTTGTTCAATCTGACATTAGATTCGTGTTGATGGGTCCAATATCAATCTCGCATCATATATGGTCTAAACTTGGAATTTCAATAGTCATATCTTTATTGATTTTTTCTCGACTCCGCCATAGGACTAGTGGCTAATTTTATTGCTACATTGTATGAAAAATCACAAGACTAATAATAGTTTGGTAAACAGCCATAAGTTGTGTGTACAGTTTACCCATTTGTCTTCATATTTGCAGGCAACAATAATGATGGACACCTTTATGAGGCTTGTCAAGTCAGACACGACTATTGTCCACCATTATTAGTCAGATAAAAAAGTAAGAAAGTCGCATGAGGAATCGCCCACTGGCTGCTATTATCGTGTATTGCTGTGTTTTTCCCTCCAAGACGTAGCTTACTCAGAGGTAAGAGAGTTACAGTACCTATCCAAAATCATTGGACTGTTTTCGATGTTGCTAAATTTCCTTTCCCTGTGTTTTTTTGTTAACTCTACAGATTATCATTGATGCGTTGCTAGTGGAGCTTCTTTTGACTTCAAAGATGCTAACTACACATGTTTATGCCAGAATAGCATTCCAAGAGGTAACTCATCTAGTCTCTTTCTTTGCTTCACCGTATTATTTTTGTATCGTTTTCTGTTTTTCTTTTCATAACCCACAAAAGTGCGGAGTACACATTAATTTGTTGTGCTATATCCAATCTTTACGTGGGAAAATTTGTCCCGAAAAAATGGTTCAAATGCCTCGGTCTGGTTATGGACTCATGATCGGTCAAGAATAAGAGAATGGATTATCTCGTCAAGTCCCT